TTTGGGCTTATAACTATTTTGATCTGAGCGTCACTGATGAGTCTAATGTAGACGAAACACGCGTCTGGCGTATTAAATTATTAGCCTGGTACCTTTGATAGCTATTTATGCTGATTTTTCTAAAAGTTGTTCAGCATTTTATTTTTTACACTCTTTTTTTGTTATGACCAAAATATATACCTAGGTATATTTGTTCAGTTAATATTTTCATATTTATCTTAAATTTTGCATTTTTCTTGTTTCCCAAGCCAAACACCGTCAGTTTAACTCTGTTTAATTTCAACCCTGACAATGTTCGTAATGTTTCAATCATATTTAGAGCTTTTGAAATATTTTTTTTGTTCAAAGAAAAAGATTGGTATCATCTGCTATTTGACTTATCTTTTAATGTATGAGTTTTGCCATCAAGATTCATTTCAAAGCCTTTGAGGTCGTAGTCTTGTTTGATCCTACATGATAAAATTTCAACAGCAATTACAAAAATTATCGCACTGCATAGTTACCCTTGCCTAATCCCACGAAAAATGCATATAGGTTTTGAAATCCAACCATTGTTTATAACTGAGCTTTTAATATCAGTATATAGAACTTTAATCCATTTCAACATTAAACTTTTGAATCCAAATTCCCGTAAAGATAAAAACATGAAATCCCACTCTAAAGAATCAAAAGCTTTAGAAAAATCTAAGAAAAGTAGAGCTCCCTCTATGTTATTTTTATCATCTTAATACGTGTTATAGTGATTTTTTATTCGTCTTTATTAATATTACTTTTACCGTTTGCTCCCTTTTTTGGTGATATCCATTTGACGTGGCTCTGTACTTATACATCCCGTCATTGTGTTGTTTGCATTATCTTTAATATTTACTTTGTCCGTGACTTTTTGTGTTTCTTTGATACATATGACGTGGCTCTGTACTTAAACATCTCGCTATTGTGTTAATGTTCTACTATAATTTTTGTATTCTGGGCTCTGTTGTTCATCTTGTCGTTATTTTAACGATTGATTAAATTTAACGAGTCGTTACATAACGAGTCGTTTATTTTCTGTTGTTCAACAAAATTTAACGCGTTGATTAAATAATCAATGAATTAAAATTTAATCAACTGATTAATCAATGCGTTAAAATTTAATCAACTGATTAATCAAGTGATTAAATAAAATCTACCCATCATTCATTGTTTATGAGCTTCCTGTCTGTAAAGAAATGGCTGAACCAGTTGAACAAACCCCAAGCAAACTGAAAAGGCTAAAGAAGACCAATTTTACTGTGGCAGAGGAAGACTTGATACAACAGCTTGTGGAAAAAAACTCCATCATAAATGGAAAAATTAACAAACACAGTAACAAATAAGTTAAAAAAAGACATTTGGGATGAGATTACCATCAAGGTAAATTCTCTTGGAGTTGCTCTTCGTACTTCAACAGAAGTACAAAACAAATGGAGGAACACCACAAGAGTGGCCAAGGCCGTTTATTCAAAACACAGGAATGAAATATTCAAAACTGGGAGAGGACCAGCTCCAAAGCAACCCAGCACAGCAGTGGAGAGGGTTATCCACCTGATGAAGGACACCACCAGCTTCAGAGGGATTCAGGGTGGACTTGAAACAGAGTAATTCCAAACAAGTATGTAAATAATATTTAGCACATAAGAATATATCCCCAAATGTTTTTTTCCTTAATTAGAACTTCTCAAGGCTCTACCCTTTTTATTGCACCTTGTAAAAAGTGAACTTTAACAGTTTCAATCAACTAAATGTTTTTAATTTTCATAAACAAACAATTTTTGTCAAAATTTTGTTTTGAAGGTGTTTTTTATTGTTATTGTTAATTTTTAATGAAATTCGATGAAAATAACACACATATTCGTAGCCTTTTTAATCCCGGGATACATAGTTTCCCTTATTCAATTTTAGTAAAAGTTTCGTCTGCTCTTCCGTCACAACAAGTAGGGGAATTCCCAACTGATATCACGTGACTGAAAACAATTTATTTTGACCAATTTTCTATTACTTAAATGATTGCCAACGTGTTACTTGTTGGTTTGAAGGTTCTGCTTTTGTTTGACTATTGCAAGATTGCATTTGTCTAAACTGATAAAGGTTTTAAAGTGTTATTTTCAACATTTGTTCACAAGTGGCAGGTGCCCGCCAAACCGTCTTCAAACTGGTATCTGTTGTTAGATTAAAAGGAACCACAATAGATAATTTGGAGCGAAAACCAGTCATGATTTATAATACTAAAACACATACGGACTGGTTATTATAAATCCGGAATAAAGTTTATCTATTTGTTGTTGCAGTCTGAACCTAGACAGGAACACATAGTTTATAGCTGAGACCCATAATAATATTTAAAGGGTTGAAATAGGGTCTTATTTAGTCTTGTGCAATTTTCTTTTTTACTTGCAATTTAAAGTACATTGTATCTGAATTTAATGTATGATGATATGTTTCCATTGCCCCGACCCCCTATAAACAGATAGATAAAATACCCAAACACAGTATCAACAAGTCAATTTTCTCTCATTTATTACAGATCCACCAACTATCACTGCCACATTACCAGAAGAAAATGCCAGCCAGGATCTCTATGAGTCGGCAGCATCACTTATCAGTGACAGTCCACCCCATTTCAGTCCACAGAGTCCATCTCTGCTGACTGGATATGACCCTATCCTAACACAAACAGTTGTTCCAGTACAAACAAGTATTACAAAAAAGCGGAAGTGAGTTTAAAATGAATATAAAAAAGAAGATATGTTATGATTGCCAATGAGACAACTCTCCACAAGAGACCAAGGATGCAACAAGAACTCTTTAAACATGTGTTGTGTAAACAGGTTCCGCTAGTTTATTTGGTCAACACTTTTTTCTTGATACAATGTATAAAATTAAATTTGTCAATGCATGTTTATATTTCCAACAATGAACCTCAAAGTGAGATTTTGCTATCGGTTATTCATGACAATGCAGTCATTAATATCACTAAACGTGACAATCTTTCAAACCTAAACCTAAAAATTATTGACAAATTCTGCTAAGGATAGAACTATATGGTATAGTGATTTATAGTGATATATTTCCTTATAATAACTTTAAATGTATTCAAGTTTTTGTCATGTCAGCACCTAAGTAAGCATCGGGGATGGTGGTGGTGGTGGTGGTGGGGGGGTTAATACTTGATTGATAGGGTTGCCGCTGGGGTTCTAGTGTGACCTCACCCTATTAATATAATTAAGATATTAAAAATGTATAGTCCTTTTCCTATATTGCGTCGTTAATAATGTAACCTTTTCTCATATTTGTGGGTTTCGTGTGGTCATTTCAGAGGCAGATTTAGTGGGTGGGCCCAGGGGGCTTGTGCCCCCACCCCTTCCCCCTTTTGTGGGAAAAATTTGGTTGATTATATAGAGAATCACTGAAGCATGACTGGAGTGGGCCTCCTCTTGTGAAAATTTCTGGATCCGCCAATGAAATAAGGGCTAAGATTCTGTATGTAATGTTAATTCAACTTACGGCGAGACTTTTTAGGATGTGGAAAATGGCAGTCTCAGACAGAGCTTTTTAGTATACAAGTAATTGGAACTTTTTTTACCTTTTCATATATTTCTGATAGTTTTCCCCACCTATTTACATATTTCAAGCCGGAAAACATGACATATTCCAACGGCACGTCGTTCAATCACTTTGTATATAGAAAGTGGCCCCCGAGTTGTAAGTAGCTATTTGGTGGAATTATGCCTGGGTATCGATCAATAAAAAGAGTTGTAAAATTATTCAATCTTTTAAAAAAATCATTATGTTTTTTTTATTTGTAGGATAGTGAGAACACCCTCAAAAAAGGTAACAGTGCAGGACATACATTACATACAGTATCGTGCACTGCAGTGTAAATTAGTGATACAAGAGAAGAAGAACATTCAAATGGACCTAGAAAAGAAAAAACTGGAACTCCAAATTGAGCTTTTACAGAAGTTAGTGGGTTTCAATTCAGAACCGGTCACACTCTCCCAGGCACTTGCCTCTATGTTTTAAACGTATTAAATTCATTGTTATATTGTTGATTTTTATTTTAGAAATTATTATGAGGCCACCAAATTCATTTTGTGTACACACTCCTATGTAAAAGAAAATAGTAATTACAATTTAGCAACACCCAATGCACCTCCATCATTCAAATAATCATAAGGGAGCTACCATTTGATTTTTATGGGGGGTGGGGGGGGGGGGGGGGGGGGCTAGGATGAAATTTGAAAAAAAGGCAGGACAGGAGTTTTGAGTAAAAAAAAAACAGGATGAGCAACTTGGCAAAAAAAAAGGCAGGATGACAGTTTATGTAAAAAAAGTCAGAATAATCTAATAAGAAAAATGCAATACAGAGATTACACAAAAAAAAATGCAGGACAAAATTTTTCATCCTTCTACAAGTACCTTCCCAAATTCAGGAGCCTGTAATTTTAATTGTTGTCTGTTGTTAATGTATTTCATTGTTTTTGGGTTTATTTATTATATAATTCTGGCGATTGGTTTAACTTATCTGAATTGATTTACAATTGTTGCACTGGAACCTATAATTGCTGATATTGAGGACATTTGGTCTTGGGTAAATTGTTGTTTCGGGATACCCCATCGTCTCATTAGCAATCAGGATGATGGAAGTTTTAAATGAACTTGACTGGCTATATACAGCCCTTGTACTGTCGGACCTGGATTGCGCCTTTTTGGGCATTTAAATAATTTAATTTTTACCATATGGTAATTGATATAATCAATTGGCAATCATACCACATATTCTTATTTTTATACTGAAGTACAGTTGCATGACTACTGGGTTTTTGATTTCATAGGCGACTAACTGCTCAACATTTACAAAACCAATTTTTAAGCCGAAAATGCACACTTCCTCTGTCGACAGATTGTCAAAGTGATCATATAAAGATTTGTTGCTATTTTCAAATTTCCTCATTTTTTTAATGAATGACAATGTATGAAAATATGAAAAAATAAAAACATGCAATTTATTAGGCAAAAAAAGTGGTAGCAAAATGGTCCCGTATGCCTTTTCCGTCCTGTGGACCATTATAGGGTGGCATCTGAGGTTGATTGTCAATTAATTGTTCTTCTGCAACGTCAGGTTCATTCCTCATGATGGCAATATTGTGCAGAACACCACAAGCAATGATGATACGGCAAGCTTTATCTGGTTTCATTCGGATCTGGAATACAATTTAAAAACATTTATTTCTAATTTTAAAGTGTGACAGAAATACTATTTGTAAGTAGCATGATGCAACGTTGTTCATGAATAAGGCTGAGATTAAATAAATCTATTACGAAAAAAATTACTTTCAGTAACAGAAACACAATGTGACATGTGCATATTTGAAAACACTATTAATGAAAAAAGGACAAAATCAGGTATGAAGCTGAGCAAAAAGTCCAACTGATGATGTACTGTTTCATTCATGATTTATTATAGTTACAGTAATGACTAACTTGAAGCATCTACCCCAACAGGACTACCTGAATTAATGAACCAACATTACCAATTTTCCAACTGGATCCCTGTTCTCCGTATAATTTTAGGGTTTTGATCTGTATGATTCTACATATAATTTTAGGGTTTTGATCTGTGTGATGAATTGTTAATCATTGTGTTTTTGTCCCGGCTTGATATTGTACGTGTTTCTGAGGTCAGCTTTATCAGCCCTTTATTATCTGTGATCAAAGAAATACGTTTTATGATTTTGAAAGTGACTTATAGACCCAATGGGTCGGGTGTATTTTATTGTTTATATAATATATTTGTATTTTGTTAAACTGTTATTACACATGTCACTATAATAAAAATTTAATTACTTTACTTACTATACAACTGATTTTTCAGTTTTCTCTTTTTTTTTACATAATAAAAATGAGGAGATTTGGTATGATTGTCAATTTTATAACTAAAATGTATATATCCTGCAAAGTTAAAATGAAGTAAACGTAAGCAATTATAGGCAACCGTACGGCCGTCAGCAATATAAAAAAAAACGTATAGTAGGCTATAAAAGGCCCAGACAGAGAAGGGGACAATAATGAATACCTAAACCAAAATTTAGAGAAATAGAAAAAATGTACTAATGAAAGATTTAGTAGACAGCTCTCACAAGAAAAAAACAACATAACTTTTAAAATATAAGGGCATACACTATGTCATATATTCATTTTACTACTATGATTATTTGTAAAGAATTAATTTTACCTCTGATCCTAGAATGTGAAAACGCTTCTTCCATATTCCAAATGTCCTTTCTATTGTTGACCTTGTTGAGCAATGTCTTGCTTGACCTCTACCAGCAGCTGGTTGTCTGTATGGTGTCAGCAAAAACTGTCTGCAGGGATAGCCACTGTCTCCTAACAATACATCTTGTCCAACTCCTTGATATCCATTCTCAAGATGTTGTCCTATGGCTGAGGTTCTGAAAACATGAGAATCATGTGCTGATCCTGGCCACCTAGCACTGATGTTGGTGAATCTACCTTTAAACAAAAATATGATAATTAAAAAAGGGGGAAAAGTAGTTCCATAATTCATTTGTCAATGCAAAGCAAGTCAGTGATTGTGAATAAGTATGGTGACCCATAGCTGTTTATTTCTGTGTCATTTAATTTATTGTGGAGAGTTGTCTCATTAGCAATCATTTACGCATCTTCTTTTATGTGCATGCATAGTTTGTCCATTATAGTTCAAGTCATTAAAATATTGGCCGAATTTGCAATGTGATGAAAAGAATGTATAGTAACAATTCAGATAAACAATACATCGGGTATCGAAGTTATATATGCTCCCTTAACATTTTTTTTAATGTATTGAACAATGACTGGCTTAAGGATTGGTCACTATTTCCCAACCGGAAAGAATGGGGAGGCGAAAAATTTGGATGATTGGACACTTATTTTTTTTTTGGGGGGGGGGGGGGGGGTCTGTCTCCTCACAGAAACATTTAGAGGTAGATCCAGAATTTCTGCAAACTACGTGAGGCACACTATTTGTTGACGTTTCAAAGTTTATAAGCCTGACCAAATTCTACCTAAAACAGATAAGGGGTGGATGGGCAAATCTTTAAAACTATTTTGATCAATAAATTTATGTTTTAAGCATAAACTCTTAGCAGTTCACTCGATCCATCATATTTAAAAGTGAAACGGTAAAAAGCATTGATTCTACAAATCCATTAAAAAGTATATGACAAGATTGAGTTGTCTTTCTTTTTCCATCGATTTTCAAATTAGCTGAAAACCAGTTCAACATAAAACCAGCCATGTATATGGTCAAGGACGATTGAAGATGTCAAGAAAAAGGACGCACACAATGCATGTTGTAAACATAAAAAAGGTAGAATATAGTATTTTAAATTACCTTCATGGTCACAAATGGCTTGTACGTTGATGCTGTGGAACCCCTTTCTGTTCACAAATACTGGTTCATCAATGCTAGGCCCAGTAATCCGTATGTGGGTCCCATCAATGCATCCAACGACGTTTGGAAAACCAGCCTTTTCATAAAACCCAGCCCTTAGGGGACGACCATTTGATATTATGGGGGGGGGGGGCCAGGAGGATTTTGAAAATAAATAACTCAGCCTTGATAATCACAAAAATAAATGGTTTGTTCTGTGGTAGTTTGAAAATAAATTACCTGACTTGCAATGTATTGAAAATAAATAACTCAGCAGGTCTAATCGAAAGTATGAGATGGCACCAGATTCTTCATAAATTCATTTTTTTCCAAAAAAAAAATCGGGAAACACTTCCCATATCTTTTAATAATAAAAGTATAAATATTATTTAAATATACTTGAAATGTCAGAAAATTGGTTTCATTTAACTTGAGGTTAATTGTCTCAGGAACACTTACCTCACTTTTATTAAATCAGGGCCGTAACTACATTGAGACAAATGCCTCATGTAGGAAATTTCAAAACCAAACGCTTGTGTCCATATCAAATTGTGTTCACCGTGAGTGCCTTGCAAGAAGCAAGTTCTGTTCTCCCTCAGACGTAGCCCCTGATTTTTCGGGATAAATGTTTCTTATTTATTTGTCTTTTGTTCATTGATTGCCCTTCTGTATTCTGTTAGTGTCGCATTCATTTTGTAATTTAGTAATTTTATTATTAACTTGATCGTGAGTTTAAAAAAACACAGCAGCCACAGACTTAATTATGTGAATTACATTTTTGCTTTAAATATCATGCATATTTGTCTTTTGATGTTGTTCCAAGAAACTTAAGTCTTCCACTGAATCTATAACGTGATTTTGCTTTGAGACCAAAATATTGTCATAAAATTATTAAAACAGAACTTGCATTTTCAGTTTAAGAAAGGGTCTGGGGAACACACAAAAGGCATGATTTTGCATCATTTGTTCTATAGCTTCTTGGGCCTTCAGCGGTTCAAAAACCCTTCAAAAAAATTTTTGCCTCGCTCCACTCGGCGAAACATGTTTGCCAATACTTTTAAAAGAGCCTTAGTTACAACCAAACTTTAATACTGTGTATGTATGCAATACATGTATATGCATTGGGGGATATAGAAGATTCATTTCTGCAGAGGATAATAATTAATTCTGATTAAATGGTACATAATGACTTGACTATACATGAATTATTTATAATAAACAAATAATTTAAAAATTGTATGTTTTCGAATATTATAAATATAGTTGTGAAAATAAATAATCAGTCCCTTGCTTTAATGAAAATGAAAAATCTTGCTTCAATAGTGCAGAAAATAGATAATCTGTCCTCTTAGTTTACCAAAATAAATAACCAATCCAAAACAAATCCTCCTGCCCCCCCCCCCCCCCCCCCCCCCCCCAGAATATCAAATGGTCGTCCCCTTATTACGTTCTTCCTCTGGTTATCTGGCCACGATATGAATTCATCCTTCCTGGCAACTAATGATTCCGTCACACGGTCAATCACCCGAGACACAGTTGATTTGTCAAATCCTATTGTGTCCCTAACAACTTGCAAGTGTGATCCACTACCATAAAACCTCAAGGCAATCATGACCTGTTGCTCCACTGAAAGGGCTGTCTCCTTGTTTGTCCCACGCTCCAGATCCCCTCTCATTCACTACAAACCAGTAAAAGTCTGAAATGGCCTATATCTGTACTCGACTGTACTGATTTTTACTCGACCAGTCTGAATTGGTCTGAATTTTACTTAATATTACTCGACCCAGTCTTAACCATACTCGACTGTACTGATTTGTACTTGACCCTTATCTTTGCTATTGAAAATAGTCTAAACTATTACTCGACCAGTCTGAAACAGTCTTAACCCAGTCTGGACCAGTACTCGACCAGCTCTCGACCTATTTTTTCAGTCTGAACCATACTCGACCAAAGGTCTGAACAATACTCGACCAGTCTGAACCATACTTTACCAAATTACCTCTGCTTTATAATTTTGATTGTTTAAATAACTTTCTCTTTAACTTACATGACAACAGCCACAATTAAAAAAAGATATATATAAAAACATTTTTTACATTCTTTAATAATACATGATTCTCTTAGATTTGGCAAATCGAGATAGTTAAATTATCTAATTTTAAAGTCTGAGTCTTGTTAAATAAAAGACTTGTTTTACCTGAAAACCACACCTATACTGAGGGTAATAAAACCTTATTAAAAATAAGGTGTTTTTTGTTTGGCATGTGTTTTTTTTTTTAAACAAAACTTGATTTTCCTAAATTCCTAAATAAAAACGAATGTAGGACAGAAAGTCACAGGACAAAAAGTCACAATTCAGTTTTGAGGTTATTTTTCTTTGAACAATAGAACACTTATTTTTAAAAAAACATTTTTGTATTTTTCTTGAAACAATATCAATAATGATCAAATAATTGTTAAGAAAACAAAATGTTACAATGTCTTGGTACTTAAATGGCTTCATGGTGCCAAGAAATATATCCTTTGCATGATTAAAATTTTATAAATCTTTATTTATCAAATTAAGTCTTATGAACAATTTCCTAAACTGTAAAATGAATATGTGTCATAAAAAGTAAACATTTCAAGATCTTTCTCATAAATATTCAATCAATTGTATACAAATTATTTGTGACTTTTTGTCCTATCAAATTTGTGACTTTCTGTCCTGTGACTTTCTGTACTTAGGTTTCATGGTTATATACAATAGTTATATAACTATCTTTTTAATGAGGTAACAACAGCCAACAAAATCACTGACATTGTTTAACCTTATATCAGAAATATATCTATTCCTATTCATAATTTGGGATATATATATATATATTTTAAAAGGGATAAAAAATTCAAGAAATGAATAAAAATTTTCTTCTGATTAGGGGTAAACTATAAAGTAATACATCCTGCTTGACGCACACTGATTAAAAAGATCACACCTGGTCAGAGAGTAATAAATTTTAAATATCATCCATTGAAAATTACAACATCCTGTAAAACTTAAATAACAAGGCCTTTGAATTCACTAGATAAGTAATACACGAGTTTAAGAAAAATATGGTTTTCTTTTTACCTGTAAAACACCTGTACTGAGGTAATTAAACCATTAAACCTTATTAAACTGCTTCTTGTATGCCATGTCTTTAATTTTGACAAAACGTATTTAAATTTAATTAAAATAAATTTCTACTGCTACTTTGGAATACATTTCCTTTTTTAAAAGGTTATCAAGGATAAAAAGATGAAAGTTTTATTATTATTATTATATTAAATTTTTGATTTTACAAAACAAAGGTGTCAATTCTAACATTTATTAAGTTGCTTTATATACTATTTTATATATATTTTGATAAAAAAAAAATTGAATAACATTTAAGATATTTGAATAATGGTTGAAAGTTATAGTATTTTTGATGCATAAATCAATGTGAACATGATATCATGTATATGAAAATTCATTTAACGAACTTAATTTATTACATGATATTTTTTTAATCCAACCAGAAATTTGATCACCTTGTTTTATTTTAATTTTAAATGTGATATACATTTTATATATATATATATATGAATAACAGTTCCTAAATTAATGAAAAAATAATATAGATAGATACAAAAAATAGGTCTAGGTTGGTTAAGACTTGGTCGAGTATGGTTCAGACTAGGTCGAGTATGGTTCAGACTAGGTCGAGCATAGTTCAGACTTGGTCGAGAATGGTTAAGACTATGTCGAGTATGGTTCAGACTCGTATAAAATGGTTAAGTACTGGTCGAGTAAAGGTCGAGTACAAGTTCAGACTGTTTAGTATGGTTCAGACTACAGTCGAGTAATATCAAGTAAATTTCAGACCAATTCAGACTGGTCGAGTAAAAATCAGTTCAGTCGAGTACAAATATAGGCCATTTCAGACTTTTACTGGTTTGTAGTGATTAAATCCGACAAGTACTCAATGGTCTCTCTGCCAAATCTATATCTCTGCCTTAGCTCCTCATCAGAAAATTCCCTTTCAAGAGGTTCAGAACCGCGAAAATGTCGCTCTCTTCTTACCACAGGTAGTTGAAACAATACATTGACAGCCATCTTAGATTGAGTTTAATCAACTGATTAAAATTTAATCAACCTCAATGATCGAGGTCGATTAAATATAACGACACTTTGACAATTTTAAACGACTCGTTAAATTTAACGACAATTTGAACAACATGATAATGGACTGATTAAATTTAACGCAGTGATTAGTAAAATTTAACGACTCGTTTAATTTAACGACAAGTTGAACAACAGACCCCTGGTCTTTCATATTTGCTATTGCTTTGCCTATATGCCCTTTTGTGTTTCTTTTATACATAATGACGTGGCTCTTTTTATGAAGAAATACACAATTAACCTATAGACAAGCGGCAAGAAGGAAATTTAAACTTCTAATTTACATACTGCAGAGGATATGCCTAAAGAACTATAGACTATATTATTTTCATACTTTGAACTACATTATTTTATAATTCTACCTGTGTGACGTTTACATTCTGACGTCATACGCGCGATTCAACGTTAGAGCCATGTTAATCTGGCCATTCGGTCAACGTGCTTAAAACCTCTCCATCGTTTATGGGTGGATTTAACATACATAAATAAAATTCAAAAATAAGAAAGCAATGAATGAGGTTGTTACATTTGATATATGCCTTTTTGTGCATCTTTGTTAAATATTTGTTTTGTTTTTATTGGTATTAAGATACTTGTGGTACTTGTACATTCTGTCATTATTGTTTATGGTATTCTCGTATTCTTGTCTTTCATTTTGCTAATGTGCTTTGTCTATATGCCTTTTGGTGTTACTTTGAAAACTTGTTTGTTGCTCGTCTTTCAATTTTCCTATGCGCTTTGTCTATAAGCCTTTTTATGTTTCTTCGTTACATACATGACGTGGCTCTGTACTTATACATCCCGTCATTGTGTTATTGTACTATGGTAAATTTGTGTATTCTTGTCTTTAGTTTTTATTAATATGCTTGGTCTGTATGCCATTTTGTGCTTGTTTGTTACGTGTTTGTAAGTTT